CATCAATGATGTGATCATTTACATCTGTGATAACAGCTTAGATGTGCATTGATAACATGTTTATCTAGTTCTTCAAAAATTCTATGACTCTCATCTCATATGTAATATCAGTAAATGCAAATTTCTTCAAGAAGAGATTGACTTTGTCAGCTATATAATAGAATGTAATGAGACACACATGAATTCTACTCATATTAACACTATACTATTCTGACTCACTCTCAAATTCATTTATAATATTTATAAATTCTTGAGCTTCTGCAATTTCTATTGATGCTTTATACATTATTATAGCAAGATTATCTTGCTAATAATAACAGCTCTCAAAGTTAACACAGTGTTCACTTAAACTGATACTTAAAATAGTAGCTTTCTACATTTAAAGAATGCCTTTATCAAGACTCTTCTCTTAATCTTCTACTCAGATAATTTAGTCATCTTCATCTTCTGTAATATCAGTGAATATGCAATCAGCAGCATTCTCATGCAATTATCTGATAATCATCTTCATTCAGTCACTTTTTACAGCTGTAAGATAATGAATGCTGAATATAACTATGAAACATATGATCAAGAGATGCTTATAATTATTGAGTTTATAAAGTACTAAAGTCACTTTATTCACAGTAACAGGCACAGTATAATCATCTATAGTGATCACAATAATCTTCTTTTCTTTCTCTCAACTAAAGTTCTTAGTCATCAGCAGGTCAGGTGAGCTCAACACCTCAGTGAGCTTAATATCATTATAAAATATAAGAAGAGCTGTAAGAATCTCACTAATACTCTGAGCTGTTGACCTGACTACAGATTACATTCAGACAATCTCACAGAGCTTATTAACATCTTTCATCAGTTTCTTAACACATTCTGCAATCATCTCTGCAATACTCATCTCACTGTTCTTGCTATAGTACAGGCTCTCATTCTCAATCTTCATTAGCAAGCAGCTGTACTTGTTTCTCTATCTCTATGTGAAGAGAGTACACTGCTGCAAGCTATTTATAAGAATCTCTCAGAAAGTCTGAAATCTCTCATATTCTTAACAGATTACAACAATCTGAAGAACTGAGTTATAGAAGATAATCTGCTATTCTACAAAGACTGAATCTTTGTCTCAGATCATGCTTCTATCTGTATACTAATTCTTCAAAACTTTCATAACTCTTCTACAGCTGAGCACTTCAGCTCTCACTGTACCTACTTTTTGATAAGTCAATGATTCTATGGATCAATCATACAGCATAACATTGATGACTACATTCACAGCTGTGAAGCATATCAGTGATTCAAGCTCATTACTTATCACACATATAGAGAGCTTATGTTCATACCTGTCTCTGACACAAACTGGCACACAGTCACTCTTGACTTCATAGTAGATCTTCTCAAATCAACTTACTTTATAACAAGTATTATCTTTGACACTGTTCTTGTAGTGATCTGTAAGAGATTCAAATAACCTCACTACATTCTCATCACATTCAACCTGCTCTCAAAGACATTTGTTCAGCTTTTTACTAATAATATCATCTGTCTTCATGAAATGCCTGCTGTTATAATTTCAGATTGGAATTATCTCTTTATCTCAGAATTCTGACATTCTCTTTCAAGTCTTCTAGACACAGATCATCATCTCTTCACTGTCTATTATGTATAAACAGATGATCAGACAGAGCAGCAAAATCACTAACTTGAGATATATATACACTTATATATTACATATCTACAGAATGACTGAATAGACTTGCTTACTCTAGCTGAATTTGTCTACAGCAACTCAATTCACTTCACTCACAATATTATCTCATTTTTCATGAATCTCAGCTATCACTTAGTATTTCTTATCATCTCTGACTTCTCTCACTCAGAAGTTAACAATGCTGCAGCTGAATAACATGCTATTCTCATTAAAGAAGCTTAATAAGAGACACACAATCATCTTCTTCACTCTCAGAATCTCATGCAGTGCTACACTCATGACAAGCTCTATGAATTTTAAGTAGACAATCTTGTCTTTCTCAATGTAAAAAATATTAAAACACATCATCTCAACTGTAAGCTAGATCATAAGTTTCTTGATTTCTTTCTTATACACACTTACATAGGCACTCAAGCTTATCAGCTTGATCTCCAGTTCTTCTATTATATATATGATATTTTTCATGTATCTCTACTCAAGTCACACTGTCTCTTCACTCTTAATAATAATCACATTCTCTCTGAGATTCTTCATCCAGATCTCAACAACAGTAATGACATTATTTAAGAGATACTTAACATCAAACTCACTTGCAGGAATAAAATCAAATACTTAGTATATTGAATAGATCACAGGCCTTAATTCAATGAATGAGTTGATCTTGACTATCTTTCACACTCTCAGCTAGACTGGCCGCCGGGATCATGAATTTCACATTTGATCTCATTTGATCTGGTCTCATACATTTCTTGGCGTGAATCCCGCTGGGACTGACTATTAAAAAAACATGTAAAGTGACTATATATCAAATCTTAAAATGGAATCATGACTTGAAAAAAATGAGAGAGTGGTTTCATTTGGTCTCATTTAGTCTCATTCTTAGCATAAAGTTACTATTTTTAGACATTTTAAGGTTTTTTTTAGACTATTTTTAATTTTTTAAAAAGTAATGCTTTTTGATAACACTCAAATGAGATTTAAAGTCATTTAAAGCAATAAAAATAATTTAAATTGAGAAGTGAAAATCATGATCTCATTTGAAAAATATGACAAGAGTAGACAGTAAGTCTCACTGAGACAGTATGAGACTACTATTTAATGTTAAAACTGTGTAATGAGATCAGTTGAATTGATAATGAGACTATCAAAAAATCTGATCCTGATCTCAGACACAGTCACACAGTCAGTCTACTCTCAGCTGTATCTTGACATCTTCTATATACATCACTCAACACAGTCTCACTCACTACTATCAACAAACTCAGTGTCTGATGTACTGCAAGCTGATCTCTCTCATACAGATACTCTCAATCTCTTTTAACTATAATATCACAGAGCTGATTATTACAGTGCTGATAATCTCTGATAAGTCTCTTTATTTTCTGTAGAGCAGGGTGTGTTCTGCTACATACAAGAACAAAGTAGACATCTAGAGCAGGGTGCATCTCACTAGTTTAGTAACTGAGACAGAGTCTGTCTCATCAGTTCAAGACTCAAGACAAAGCATATTCTGTTGATCTTATTCAAGTTTTTTTTCATGTCTGCAGAGCTAGAATCAAATTGAGTATCATATAGCTCAGTCTTATTGTTGCTTTATATATTTCTTATTTCATGTATATTGTCTATGTAATCATATGTTTTAATATATATTACATTCACCTCACCACTCTTAGAGACATGGAAGAGGTGAAGAGGCAGAGTGTAAGACTACTAGAGCTTAAAACATCATCACATGATCATCACATGACTCACACAGGCTGTGACAACCTTATATTCCCTACTCTTCTTTCATAGCTAGTTCTTCTACTCAAGAATCAGTAATATCATGACCTGTTGTATAGCTGCAGTTTCACTCTAATATTCATCAGTGACATGACTCTAACAATGAGATCAGTTGAATTTGATAATAAAACTATTAAAAAATCTAGTTCTGATCTCAGACACAGTCACACAGTCAGTCTATGTCTACTCAAGTAGTGAGAGAATATTAATTATTAATTATCTCAACAACCAGAGGTCTATATACATTAAAATTAATAGATATTATAGAGATATTAAGTATTGATACATATA